ACGCACGCACACTCATATACACACACACACTCACACACACGCACACACACGCTCTCACACACACACACTCACACAGCTCATACATACACGCAGGCACACACACATTCACACACTCACACACGCACGCACACACTCACGCACACACACTCACTCACGCTCACACTCGCTCACACACGCTCACGCTCACTCGCTCACACACGCTCACGCTCACTCACACACGCACGCACACACACACACACACTCTCACACTCGCTCACACACGTTCTCGCTCACACGCTCACGCACACGCTCACTCGCTCACACACTCAGTCACACGCTCACACACTCTCACACACTCTCACACACACACTCACACACACACACACGCTCACACTCGCTCACTCACACACACGCTCACACTCACACTCACACACACTCGCTCACACACACACTCACACTCACACACACGCTCACACTCTCACTCACACACACACACACACACACTCTCACACTCACGCTCACACTCACACACACGTACACTCACTCACGCTCACACACGCTCACGTTCACACACACACTCACGCACACACGCTCACACTCGCAAATGCTCACACGCACACACACACACGCTCACACACTCACTCACACACACACACACTCACTCACTCACACACACACACTCGTGACCTCTGACCTTCCCCTTGGCGTTGCCGGTGTAGATGTAGTCTCCGCGCCGGTCGAAAGCTGCCACCACGTTGAGGTCGGAGTCGTCGTCCACCGGCAGCACCACGTGTTTGGAGTCGGACAGTGTGAGCAGGACGGGCGCAGACTTCATGGGACACACCAGCACCTTGTCCCTGAAACACAGGCCCACAGAGTTCGGACTGCGCACGTTTGTCTCGGGAGCGAGTAATTCTGCAAACAATGGAACATCAGCGTACTTGATGACGTCAGTCAGCTCGCCGAAAAAATATAGTTCAGGGAACGCACACACATTACAATAAAACGAAATATGATATCAGACAGCATTGCCTCTTTTCGTTTTCATTTAAACATAATAATAGCCGCAAAAATGTGGTTCATGCAACACTTACACGCATTACAAAAAAACGAAATAACAAAAACCACTGCCTCTTTTCGTTTGCTTCACCGTATGTATACTTAAAACCCTCATCCGTCCCGAACCTATAACGAAAGTGTCCCTCGCGGGTCAAAATGACCCGAAGGCCAAAAATGACACTAATTTTATTTTTGGCCCAGAAAGCTTATATTGGTCCATTTTTATAATTTTTTCCCTAATTTTTTATGTAGGTTTTATTCTTTTATTATTTTGTGGTGAATTTTATTTTATTCACATAAAATTCTGGATATTTTTATGAAAATTAGCATATTTTATACATTTTTTTTCACCAAAAAAAACCAAAGAAAGACACAATTTCTGCATATTTATACTTTAAACATGATCATCCATCAGGACCTAGGTCACTGAGTGTCTCTGATGCCATCTGGTGGGGAAAAATTACATAAAATTGCATTTTATGATTACAGCCACTAGAGGGCCCTATAGAACCCTATTGAGATTCTTAAATGAGCCAAACAAGATAAATATTTAAAACTACAACAACTTGATGCTTCATTAAGCTTTCAGATATATATCAAAACATTAAAAAAATATATTTTGTAAAAACAAAAAATGAAATTGATACTGAATTTTAATCCAAACACATGCATATCATACAGTTTCATAAATATGTAATAAATATAAAAGATAAATTTAAGAATATAAATATGATATAAACTCATTGGTCTCCACCCCATCACTCAAATTTAACTGTGTTAAGTCAATTTTTTTTCAAAATGACAGTCATTTCCCAGCAGAAACATCATACATGCTATAATGTGTTTCAATGGGAGTGTGTGTGCCATGTTTGTGTGTGTGTGTGTGTGTGTGTGTGTGTGTGTGTCTGTGTGTGTGGATATGTGAGTTTTTTGTGCATTGGGGACATTCTGCAGTTTCAGCCCTTTGTTTGGGTATGCACCTTTTCTGGATTGTGTCAGATTTTGTATAGTCAAAAAAATCAAATAAATGAAAATTTTCTTCGGACATTCCATTCATTCCTATGGCCGGGTCAAAATGAATGTAATACTTGTGGGTGTAATACTTTATTTATTACACCTACATAGAATCCTCGAATCGACTCAAATTTTTTGTGTGTGCGCTCCATGCTCAAGTGTGACAAAATTAAATAAAAAAAAATCCTCAGTTTTTTCGTAAATACCATGCTTTTCCAGTGGCGGGTCAAAATGACCCTTTTTTCTTTTAAGTAACTTTTGATACTTTTTTTATAGCACCCACTTAAACTGCTCAAATTCACTCAAATTTTTTTTCATGCATTCTCGGTTCAAGTGTGACAAATGTAACAAAGTCTCATAACATAACGATCAACGTTCGATTTTTTAAAAATCTTTAAAAATTAGTTTTGGGTCAAAACGACTAGAGGGACGGATGAGGGTTAACAAAACAAAATATAAAACACAACCCTCAGTTCATTTTCATTTTAAAATTATAAAACATATTAATATGTGGTTTAGGTAATATGTGCACATATACTCTGATTATCTCCACTGTATGTATAATATCACACAAAGAGTGCCGTTTTTTTCTCCAAAAATCAGCACGATTACAATGTGATGTTGATTTTATGCAACAGTTCAATAAACAAGAAGTTACTATTGAAGTTAACATGACGGTGTTTCGTTCCTGAATTAATCAACCGTTTAAATGATTCGGTTCAATCGCAGTGACTCACTTAACAGTGACTTGCTGCCACCTACTGGCGGTTTTAATTTCACATTTAAAGTATCTCTTAATTTTTCATACTCCTAAAACTACATTTCATGACACAATAGCAGCAATATTTCGAAAATTATGCTGGTTTTCTCCTCCACCATTAACGCTGGTTGATTGGTGCGAAATGCATTCTGGGATACCTAGATGCCGCAAGTTCACACAAGTCACCTCTGGATGCATCCTCGATAAAAGGGGCGGAGCAAGAACACATCCGGGGACTTGAACTGTACTTGGCTAGATGTGAACTTTGAACTGGAACAGTACTTGAGTAACGACTGAGCACGTTTCACAAGAACACAAGAACAGACAAGGAGGCATATTGAGAAACGGCTACTGAGTCGGGCTCACGCACAGGAAGTCATGCGCGCGGCACAGGAAGTGAGGACACTCACATGTCTCGGGGGTGGTACTGCAGCTTGAGGATGGGCGAGGGGAAGCGGAAGCGCTGGTCGCAGTCTCCCGTCAGGACGTCCCACTGAGACACGATGTTATCCGTGGAGGCACTCACCAGCTTGTGTCCGTCTCTGCTCCAGCTGAACCACAGCAGACGCTCAGTGAGTGTGTGTGTGTATGGGTGTGAGTGTGTGTGTGAGTGAGTGAGTGAGTGTGTGAGTGAGTGTGTGTGTGTGTGTGAGTGTGTGTGTGTGTGTGTGTGTGTGTGAGAGTGTGAGTGAGTGTGTGTGTGTGAGTGAGTATGGGTGTGAGTATGGGTGTGAGTGTGTGTGTGAGTGAGTGTGTCACACACACACACACCATATATATATATATATATATATATATACACATTTTTGCAAAAATAATGTATACACTGTATGTAATATAATTATAAAAAAACAAACGAAATAATATATTAGAATTGTAAAAAATGTGTGTACATTTATAAATATGTAAATAAATATATAATAAATTTCAATATACACATATGATTCTAAAAGTGTGTGTGTATATATATATAAAATAACAAATGTTATTTATGCTGTTGCTGTACCTCTGGATAATTCTGCCCGAACGACTCTGAAAGACAGAAAACAGTTCTGATATTTGATAGTTTTGAATTACAACGGTTTTTTTTCCAACAACATCAACAGAAAATTCATTCACACAAGTCTGCATTAATATAATTATATAACAATGAATATTTATTAACCTGACAGTTCATGTCATGTTTATCATACATATAATAAAATACATCATTAAATGAGCACTGAAAGAAAACGTTTCCTACAATTATTCGACTTTAAATAATAACAAGTTCTGTAAAAGTTTCCATTGAATGTTTATAAACATTACAGACGGCTAGCAGCGGTTAGCGCTGAGCTAACAAACTCTCAAACAGCTCTACTCACCGAGCAACTCCAGATTCATCTCTGCTGCGATATCAGCACAAACCCGATCACTAGTTAGAAGAGATATTAAAATATGAACGGAAAATCAGCAAAAAATGGAAACATTAAAACGCTCCCAAAGAGCGACTGCAGCGCGACTGGCGCGGAGCTGCGAGGAAGGACCCCAAAACAAAGCGCCCCGGCGAGCGCCTGAACAAAACACACTGATCCACTCTACGCAGTGTTCAATCAGTTTATGCTTTAAATGGTTAAAAAACAAGGAATCGTTGTTTCGGAGTTAAAACCTAAACGCCAACAGCAACAAACATTCAAGAAGAGCAAAACTAAACCAACTGAATTTATATAATATATAAATATATAATTTATAGTGTTGCAAAAGCAAAATATTACAAAACAAACACAGCTAATTTCAAAAGATTTATTCACAGTACAGAAAATAAATGTGATGAAAATTAAAAATATACCCACTATTATATTCCCAACGCGTTTTTAATAATTATTATACACGTTATGTGTCGTTCGGCAAAACTACATAAACTTTCATAAAATAGCAAAAAGTCGAAAATAATTATCCTATAATCTAATATGTATCAACGCACGCAAGAACCCATGTTTACTTCACTTACAATGTAAAATTACATCATACATAGGACTGTTACGAGAGAAACAACTGCGCCAGCGGCACTGAAGGCAACATTCGCACAGTTTCCTGCAGTTCTACGGTCTTCTCCAGTGCTGTACTGAAACCGCGACTTCAGATCCAAAATGGCGTCCTATAGAGTCTCGCCCGTGATCATCCGGGTGTCTGCGGACGCGACCAATCAGACGGCGGATGAGCTAATAAGGCGGGGTAAAGTGTGTTCGGAAAATCGGCTATAACATCCTTACTAGCGGGACATAAATGACAAACGCACGGCGGGATCGCATCTTAAAAGCACACTAAACGGCATTTAACGTTCAGAATGATTCAAAGCTACGCGCAAAGCTCTTTTCATCCACGCCGCATAAACGTGAGAGGGATTTTTTGACGTCACTCCGGCGCGGACCAATGAGCGGCCTCCATATGTGGGACACTAGCGGCGTGAGTTATCGAGGCAGCACGCAAGCAGCATAGAGCGCCAACTATAGATAGAGCGCATCGTTTTAAATGCGCTATATAAAATGATTATCGTACAGCCTTTTCATACGCAATTTAGCAAATAGACACTTAACATGAAAACTTAGAGATTTAGACCCGCAAAACTATTTTTTAGAACGCTTAAAACGTTACAAACGAAGCTGTTGGTTAATCTAGTGTGTTGGATCTGTGCTCACGCCGGATTCTTTCGTGTCGGCGCATGCGCAGCGCGCTGGAGCGTTATGTAAACCGTCGCTGTTTTGGCCCGGTTCTGTGCAGCTGGACTTTGGTGGACTTCGCTGGTCTGCAGGCGAATTTTCATAAACCCTGAGATGATCTTATAACCTGGACTCACATAAACTCATTTCCCCGCTTTAGTTAACGCCTCAGGTGAGTGGCGCTTCACAGACTCGCGGATTATTTCGTGTATTTAGACAAACAGGTTGCATAAAGAGCGAACCCGTGACCCATTTCATTAAAAACACGCAAACTTAAAATAGTATAACACTTTTTGTTTATTTATTACGTTTTTTATGCCATTTTGTGACGTACTTACTGTAATGACCCAATTTTAGGATTGAGGGTCAAGTTATGAAACATGCTAAATTATGTGTAAAACTCTGATTTTTATTGTGATAATGTGTGCGGTGGGTTTCATCTTTAGTTAAAAATATTGTTTTATGTGCCAAACTCTTGGAGCGAATGAGCTGCTCTATATTTCTTGTGTCAGTTTGTTACATAAAAACTAGTCCTGAGGAACGATTAATCGCGATTAATCGCGTACAAAATAAAAGTTTTTGTTTACGTAATATATGTGTGTCTACTGTATATATAAATACACTCACAAGCACGTATATATTTAAGAAAACTATGTTATGTTTGTATATTAAATGTATTTATATATATCTATTATATAAATGTCAATATTTTCAAAATATACTGTATGAGTGTGAGTGTATTTATATACACATAATAAATATACACAGTTCACACACACATATATTACGTAAACAAGACTTTTATTTTGTACGCGATTAATCGCGATTAATCGTTCCACAGCACTATTAATAATACATAAAAACAACATATAAAATGAATGTTGTATAGCTAATTATTATTAAAAGTAGCATCACAGAACAGCGTTCTACTGTTATTGTCAGTAATTATTGTTAACCCATTAAATGACTGAAGAGTTTACAGTGTGTTAATAATACTGACGGATTAGTTGAAGTGTTGATGGTTCTGTGTGTCTCAGGCCGCTGCATCATGTCCATTAACTCCATCCACTGGTTCCGGAAGGGTCTGCGTCTGCACGATAACCCGGCTCTGCTGGAGGCCGCCAGGGGCTCCCACACGCTGCGCTGCGTTTACTTCCTGGACCCCTGGTTCGCCGGGGCCTCCAACCGCGGCGTCAACCGCTGGAGGTGAGAGACGCGTCTGACACACGTTAGATTAACCCCTTAACTGTCACCGTCCCACCTGTGGGACGCTTGGCACTCTTTTTTTTTGTTGTCCTTTTTCTCTATCAAATCTTTTAGTGATCATCATTTGAAAGCTTAGAAGCCCAAGATTCATCCTGTGAACGGACATTGATTAAAATCTTTTGGCGGTCTCCTCCCCCTTAGTGGGCGGAGTCAAGTGTCATATTACAAAATGCATTACGCTCTTTTACAATCAAACCTTTTTATAATCTTGACAAAAAACGTATCATTGGAAAGGTCTGAGTCTCAGGATTCCATATTTGGTGGTTAGTTTGTGACAGAAAAATGCATTAAAAATTTTTTAATGGAGTTTGGATGGCACCCGGTGGCTGTTTGTGGTATTCAGAGCTGTCTATGTAGACATGCTCACAGATGTGTGTGTGTGTGTGTGTGTCAGGTTTCTGCTGCAGTGTCTGGAGGATCTGGACTCCAGTCTTCGCAAACTCAACTCCTGTCTGTTCGTAATCCGCGGTCAGCCGGCCAACATCTTCCCGCGCCTCTTCAAGGTAACGACTTGAGTTTCACAGTCGCGAAGCGTTTGGGTCACGTGACCACAGTAACACTCATCTGATTGGTCGGCAGGAGTGGAAGGTGTCTCGGCTGACGTTCGAAGGCGACTCGGAGCCGTTTGGGAAAGAGCGAGACGCGGCTATAAAGAAACTGGCGTCTGAAGCGGGAGTGGAGGTGATCACGAAGATCTCGCACACGCTGTACGATCTGGACCGGTGAGAACAGACATTCAAATTATATTTTAATATTTAAGCTAATATTTACATTTAGGCTATTGAAGACGAGCTAGATTGTAAAACTATAATCTGCTACTGTGGTATTATAATATTTAACTTTTTTAAATAAAAAAAAATGCTTGATACAAATGCTTAAAAATTCTTAGAATTTTAACAAGCTCTAGATTCTAAATACAAATTTTAAATAATTTGCGATGTATCTCACTTAGAGAACTCAACAGATGCTTAATAATAAGACCCATTTAAAATACAACCGTTTTTAAACTAAATTATTAGAATACATCTACCGTAATTTATATTAAAATTTAATAACTTTAAAACCTCGCTTAAAATAGCATTTAATGTGTCTTAATTAATATATAATGTATGTATTGATAATGTAACTTAATTTTATTTTCAGTTTTTTACAATATAACTAATTATAATATAACAAATTTAAACTTGATATTAAAATAGTTTAGAATATAAATTAAATATAAAGTAACTTTAAAAATGCACTTAAAATCTAATTTTGCATATCCAATTTAGACACTTGTCAAATAATATTTTTTTATATAATAATATATCTAATTTAAACTTTATATTCAAATATAGTTTATAATGCATCTAATTTTATTGTATAAAGAAACATAATATACGTTTATAATATACATTAATTTAAAAACCTCAGCCTTAATTTAAATATACCTTAATTTTCTCTTGTTATTTTTGTTCATTTTAGTAATAATTATATATATATATATTAGGGCTGTCAGTTTAACGCATTAACTTAATTAATTAGTTATGAAAAAAAACCGCGATAAAAATATTTTAGCGCAGCTATCGCACTGGCCCCGCCCCCAGACCCATACATTATCTTATATTTCATGTTATTCATTGTTATAATGCAGGGAAACAACTCTATTAAGATT